CCTGCAATTCAATCTTTCGCCAGGGAATTCCAAGAACATACGACAAAGATAAATGATAAGTGCTTGTTCACTCTACCTCAGAAATCCTTTCCATGTGTAGGATCAGCACAGATAATCTTTAGCAATGCCTGAAATAAATTATGCGCACCACCACGATTTTCCTACTAAGCCTTTACATCCTCTGCTTGTCAACCCAGTGGCCAGTAGTATCCTACAGTAACACTGGAAAACCCAAAGGTGGGATTTACTGACAATGGGCTCTTGTTTGCTCAATCATCCAAAGTCAACAGTGTCACAGATATCCAACACAAGCTCTAGGAGAAAAACAAAAGAGCAAAAAGCAGCCTGGTTACCTGGCTCCATGGCATGCAGACTACACAGGCATGCTATTTATTATTCCTCCCTCAGCTAAGAGAATACTGAATGTGAGAAAAGAAAACTCCCTTGACCACCCTCATTCAAAGCCATCAAAGCTCCACTTATAAGGAAAAGCACATCATTTTAATTTTTATAGAACAGAAAATAAAATGTACTTAGGAAGTATTAAGGAAGGCTCAAAATAATAGATCTAAAAAACAGTATGGCAAGGCTGGAGAGATGGCTCAGTGGTTAAGAGCACTGACTGCTCTTGCAGATGACCCAGGTTTAATTCCCAGCACCCACATGGCTGCTAACAATCATTGGTAGCTCCAATGCCCTGCCCTCTCTGACCTCTGTGGGCTTGCACGACACAGGTATACCTACCTACCTACATACAAGCAATACACTCAAACATATAAAATAAAAAATATTTTTTAAAATGTGGCATTCTTCAAATATGAAACACAGAATTAGCACATGATGCAGCAATTTCTCTCCAGGGCCTTATCAAAGAAGTGAAAGCAGGTAAACAGGGTCTTTTTCTTTTTTTTTTAAATCTTTACTTTTTTTTGAGACAGAGTCTCCCTATAGCCCCAGATGGTCTGGAACCTGCTATGTAGACCAGGCTGGTCTCAATCTCACAGAACTCCACATGCTTCTGACTCCCAAGTGGTAGGATTAAAGGCAGGTGCCACCACTGCCTGGTTTTTATTTATTATATTTTAAAAAATATTTTATTCATTTATTATTTATGTGTATAATTGTATTGCTTGTATATGTGTAAGTTCACACTGTGGTGCAATGCCTTTGGAGGTCAGAAGAGTGCGTTGGATCCCTTGGAACTGGAGTTACGTGCGGTTGTTAGCTGCTATATGGGCACTGGGAATTGAACCCAGATCCTCTGCAAAAGCAATCAGTGCTCTTAACTGCTAAGCCATCTCTCCAGCCTTTCTATTTTTTTAAAGATAGAGTCTTGCTATGTGTGCCAGGATGGCCTAGAATTCCTGATCCCTCTGCCCCAGCCTCTCAAGTGCTAAGATTACAGCTATGTACCAGCATACCTGATCTGAAAGCAAGATCACACACAGAGCCCATATTCACAGCAGCATTATGTTCAGCAACCAAAGGTAAAGGTAACTCAAGTACCATCAATAGATGAACAGATAAAATGTGGTATATAAATACAATGGATTATTATTATTTGGCCTAAGGAGGAAGGAAATTTTGACATGCTACAAGACGTATGAAATCTGAAGACAATATGCTGTATGAGAGGACTAGAATTCTACAGTTTCATCAGGAGCTCTAACACACGTATAATTTTTGCAACTGCAACAATGGTTGATATCACTATCACCCCCATTTTATAGATGGCAGAAAGAGGTTCAAAGAGGGTAATTTGTTCAAGATCATATAGGAAATGGTAATAGTAGTTTTAATAATTTAAACTTCATTTCATGCTTTTAAAAATATTTTTTTTAGAGAGAGTCTCACCTTATAGCCCTTTGAAAAAGACATAGACATACCTTTGTGAGCCTGAATTTCACTAGGGAGCCCAGGATGGCCTCAAACTTGAGGCAATCCTCCTGTCTCTACCTCTCAAATGCTGGGATTGCAGCTGAGTCATCATGCCTAATCTGCCATGCTTTTTACACACACAATTTGAGGCAATCCTCCTGTCTCTACCTCTCAAATGCTGGGATTGCAGCTGAGTCATCATCCCTAATCTGCCATGCTTTTTTCACACATTGTGCATGTGTGTGCACATGTTTGCTGCATGTGTGTGCGCATGTTCACTGCGTGTATGTGCGCATATGTGATTCATTTATAGTCTTCCAATCTTCACAAATGATTTGAAGGAGTCTGGGTAACATAAAACCACCACCAAGAAGTAAAATTAAAAGAATTTTCAAAATATGGGGCTGTTGCCTGGCGTAATGGTGCATGCCTTTAATTCTAGCACCCTGGAGGCAAATCATTTTGAGTTGGAGACCAGCATGGCCTACAAAGCGTGTTCTAGGTCATATGGGGCTACAGGGAAACCCTGTTTCAAAAAACAAAAGAAAACAAAAAATGGGTTTGGAGAGATGGCTCAGTATTTAGGGGCACTGGCTGCTCTTGCAGAGGACCTGGGTTGGTTCCCAGCACCCACCTGGTAGCTAACAACCGTCTGTAACTCCAGCTCCAAGGGATCTCACACCCTCTTCAGGTCTCCTAGGGCACAATGTGACACATGTACACTTACATACATGCAGGCAAAACATTCATACACAAAAATAAAAATACACTTAAAATTTAAAAAAAGAATGTTCAAAATAACAATAGAAGAACTTTAGCAATAAATCTTTGCTGTAAAAAGCTACACATTTCATATATCAATTTTAGCTCTGTGCTCATTGGCATTCAGAGGGAAAAAAAAGAGACTGATTGGCTATCTATACTTACATTCTCTCCAGGCAAGTCAGTCTAGTTTCTCCAGAGAATTTAACAGTGCTAAACTAGTAGGTTTTGCTGAAGGAGGCATACAGTTTGAAAGAAAGAGCTCCAGGTTATAGCTTTGGTCCACAACAAAACTGGGACTTTCCACACTATCTTTAAGACTCAGTTTCTTTGCTGGTAAAATGTATTACTTTGAGGCAGATGTGGTGGCACATACTAGTAATCCCAGCTCTTGGGTATTAGAAGCAGGAAGAGCAGGAGCTCAAGGTCATCCTTGGCTACATATTGAATTCAAACCAGCCTGTGCTATGAGATCCTGTCTCAAAAAAAGGTGGGGAGGGAGAAGAACATTTTAAGAGCATATAATATATTCTACAGGGTTTGAGGATGATAAGATTAGAGAACAGAGCACATAGGAGGATATACAATGTATGGCATTTAGTAAATAAAAAGAGATGTCAGAAAAAAGAAAGGGTAAAGGTATCATCAGTAGCTTTCTGAGGTCTGACCTCAATGCAATAAAGTTCAAATATATCTTTGCAGTAATCTCTTGAGGAAGCTGAATGGGTTTTTGCTTCTTTAGCCACATACTTAATTCATTAACAGTGAAAATGATGTGATTATTCTCTGCAGGAAGCTCAGTTAGAGAAGTGAAAATTAAAGGAGAGGCCTGACAGAGTCCTGGTGAAGACAAAGAAGTGGTCATGGTGACAAGCATCATCTTTTCAAGGCTCAGCCCAGTTCTTTTCAGCTATTCAGAAAAGGGAGAGAACGAAACTTAAATCAGCTGCCCGATGGCCCTTGGGAAGAATAAGAACAGCAGCCAAGTCAGAAACCAACAAAAGGAAAAGCAACAGAGGAGATAAAGCAAGCATAGAGGAACGTGATCAAGGAAACAGGCCCCAGATGAAAAGAGCTGCCTGGGAAGCCTGTGTAAATACATGAATAAATAAATATAACATAAATTATACCCATATGTACTTCATACTCCAGCCCACAACTTGATGCTTCCTTCAAGCACCCACATTTGTCATACTGCCCTTGGGTTACAAAGGGATATTTGGGAAAAGACAGTTTGTAACTCCTGATTCTTTTAGAAACTCACATTTATCATAAGGCCTCACCACAGGGTCTTGATTACTGCTAGGTACAGATATGCATTTATTGGTAAGATTTATAAAACTGTGTTTGCTTCAAAATGTCCCCAGGGACAGGTAATGCAGTCCAACCTTCACTGTAATATTGTTATCACAACTCACCCCATGCTCCCTAGTCCCAGCCCTCCAAACACACACATTTCAGTTTCCCTTTTATTCCCAGATGTCACAAACACAGTAGTAAATCACTGCAGAGATAAGGCATGGAGGAAGGGAGGGAGGGAGGGAAAGGGGGAAGATAGAAATAAATATCATACCCCAACTCTGTCACACATTACAATCTATATACCAAGTTGTAAATACACACTACTATTATTGGACTGTCTGGCAAGCCTTACATCTGGAGCTAAATCAATTTTCCCATCTGTTGGATTTGTCTCTTCTTTTCAACATTAACTTTTTGATTATTTGCAAAAAACAATTTAATAACTGTTGAGAAAAAGGAAAATCATGGGCATAAAGAGAGAAAACAGAAGAAAGTCAGATTTGGACTTCTAACATTGAAAGCACCTTCTCCTTTCCATTTCCTGCCCATTCACCCCTGTGAGAGCAGTGCTTCCTCAGGACCCTGATGAGTTCCACCTGACACATGTTCCCAGCACAGCATTCTGTAACTGTTTTGCTGTTTCATAAGGAACTTAAAATGACTTAGCCCCATGGGCTCCATTTGCTTGTGTTTACCACAACTAAAAGTGGCTACATATAGTAAAATGTGAAAGTTCTAGATATACATGAAGAATAATCTTCAGAGAAAGCTTTCAGGTGGCTTATACATACACACTTTGGCAGCTACGATGCCTGCAAAGGGTGTGAAACCATCTCTTGAAAGAAAATTCACAGAACAGCCAGCACTTTGAGCTATTTCAATATGACAAAATGAAAGTCTCATGTACTCCTGCTTTTCTTAATCAAATATGACAATTTCTTCCACTCCTACAGACACTGGGGCTTAAAATAGTGGTGCTCAGTGCATTCTCCTTAGAAAGGTGCAATAAACCTCAGGATGAGCCAAGGAACTCTGGAAGGGAAACTGTCATTCCTTACCTGATATTAACTAGTGCATGGGTCACCTTGCTAGCTGCTTCCTTCCACTGGCCAGCGTTGGTAGAAAGCCTAAGGACTGTGAAGGAGAGAACACAGATCTGTCAAGCTCCTGATATGAAATACAAATATAAGGAATGAAGACACACCTCAAAATAGCACTATTAGAAAACCAAAAAAGTCTGTGCCAATCATCTGTTTAAAAACATCCTCAACCTAGAAAAAGAAATAAGGGCTTATAGAAGTCTGTTCTCCAGGATTTTTTTCTCTAACTTTTCACTTTCCATCAAAATATTCACTATTCCTTCTCTGTCCTGGATTTTCCCTATGCCATCTCCTGCTAACCGGATTCCAAATCTTAGTTTTAACATTCATTTAAAGCCTCTACTAGGAGAACTGTAGCCTAGCTCAGGTGGTAAATTGTCACAAGAGCACAAAGATCTGAATTAGATCCCCAGAACCCTCTTAAAAAACACCTGAGGTGGTGGCACATACTTGTAATCCCAACACTGAAGAGGGGGAGAAGGACAGATCCTAGGGACTTGCTGGCCAGCAAACTAAGCTTTCTTGGCAAACCCCACTCAAAGAAAGATCCTATCTGAAAAGACGTGAACAGCTCCCATGAAGAATGACACCTGAGTTTGACCTTTGGTCTCCACATGCATGGACACAAACATGTGTATCCACATGAACACACATCCACAGACATCCACAGACATACATACACACACACACACACACACACACACACACACACACATACTGGGATGGTGATATGAGGGTAACCTGGATGCCATGTTTATCATTTCTCTAAGGCTAGAATTGAACTTGCTATGCAGACCAGGCTGGCCTCAAACTCATGGCAAACCTCCTGGCTGAGTTGGTGTCCCTTTATGCTCCATGTGTATCTTTCTGAACCTAAAGGCATACACTCAGTCAAACAGAAGAAATAACTTTTCCAGATAGAGAAGTGCTATGTTTCAATCAAGGAGTACCTGCTTTGCTCCTCTAGTTTACAGAGGAAACCTGAAAAATGAAAAGGAAGTGTTCCCTATCTGACCAAATTCTGTTTTCTAAACTCACTCACAAGAGGAGAGATTAAAGAAATACAAAAGTGAGAACATCCTCTACCCAGTATGATCTTCAGGGTCACACAAGTACAGTAACTGTGCCATTTAAAAAAGAGACAAAGCCAGGAGTAGTGGCACAAGCCTGTAATCCCAGCACTTGGGAGGCAGAGGAGGCATATATCTCTATGAGTTCAAGGTCAACCTGGTCTACTTAGTGAGCTCCAGGCCAGCTGGGGCTACAGGAAGATTCTGCTTCAAAAAGACCAAAAATAGATAATAAAAAAGGAACAAGGGGGCTGGAGAAATTGCTCAGTGGTTAAGAGCACTGACTGCTCTTGCAGAGGACCTGAAGAGCCAGAATGCACTGACTCCATTTTAGCTAGCTTCTTCAGACAAGCCCAGGCATGTTGTAAATTTCCAGTTGCAACCCCTGCCCCCCCCCGCCCCCACAGAAGCTATAGATCAAGGAAGCCCTGGACATGTAAAAACCTTATAAGGTATAAACAAAAACTTCTGATCCTAAAGATAACAGTCAGCACATTCCAATGCCCTGAAGACAGCCCCTACCAATCAAAACTTCCCCCGTACTCAGGGTATGGGGCCATCCAATCATTTTAAAAGATGCTTGGCGCATGTGGGTTTCTGTGGAGCTGTCCAATAAAAGCCCCTGCCTGCTATTGTTTGGGGCCAGACTCCATCTTTGGCTCCCGAAGTCTGTGCCCGGCTAGCCGCCATTTGGTGGCTTTTGCTCTAAATTCCCGAATAAATTTTTTGTACAATCTTCTTGGTGTCTGTGGGAATTATTCTCGATTCTCGGACCCTAGCAGACCCATGTTCAATTCCCAGCACCCACATGGCAGCTAACAACTGTTTGTAACTCCAGTTTCAGGGGATCCGACACTCTCTTCTGGTCTCCATGGGCATTGCATGGCATGGGTACACTCACACCCATGCAAGCAATACACTCATATATGTAAAATAAAAATAATAAAAAAATTTTTAAAGAGACAAAACACACAAGTTCTCCCTGAAAGAATAAATACAAGGTAGATGCTCAAATATGGTTTATTTTTGTCTTGTGTGTGCATGTGTGTAAGTGTATGCAGGTGTATGTGTCCACGCATTCACATGTGAGCCAGAGGTCGATATCAGCTGTCTTCCTCTATTACTGTGCACCTTACTTTTTAAATTGTTCTTTATTTTATTACTGTTTTAATTATTTGTACATGTATATCTCTGAGTGTGGGTTTGTGCACATGAAAGCAGTAGCCACAGAAGCTAGAAGGTGGCAGTGGATCCCTTAGGGCTGGAGGCTGTTGTAAGGTTCCCAACAAAGGTGCTGGGAACTGAACTCTGTGAGAGCAGTATGTACTTTTAACTGCTAAGCCATCTCTCTAGCCACCACCTTATTTTCTGAGACAAACTCTCTTACTAAACCCAGAGGTCATCAATTGGCTAGACTAGCTGGCCAGGAAAGTCCCCAAATCCTCCTATCCCTGCCTCCCCAGCATTGGGATTATAGGTACACATAGTCATGCTTAGCTTTTTATGTCGGTGTTTAGGATCTGAACTCAGGTCCTTATGCTTGTGCAGTGAGCACATTACCCACTGAGCCATCATCTCCCCAGCTGCCATAGATATGGTGTTTTTGTTTTGTTTTGTTTTTTTCCTTTTCTTTTTTGAGACAGGGTCTCCCTGTAGCCCCAGCTGGCCTGGAACTCATTATATAGACCAGGATGGCCTTGAACTCACAGAGATCTGCCTGCCTCTGCCTCCTGAGTGCTGGGATTAAAGGTGTGCACCACCATGCCTGACTCCAGATATGTTTTTAATAAAGGTCTATTTGAGAGGTGTTTACAGAGTGTCAGGTACTGAAGAAAGGTTAGATACAATATAGCACACAACACACAAGAAACACAGATTGAGGGAGAACAAGTGACTGAGATGGTTCACATTTTTTTTTCTTGTGGAGGGATATTATTAGCTTTGGAGGAGTTGTATTTGTATGAGTGAATTTCATGTGTGTGTGAGTGGGTGCCTGTAGAAGCCAGAAGAAGAAGCCTGATCCCCTGGAGCTAGAGTTATAGGCAGTTATGAGATGCCTGATGTAGATGCTAGGAGCAGAACTCTGGTCTGTGCAAGAGCAGCAAGTGCTTTTAACAACTGACCCATCTCTTTAGCCCCTTATTTTGTTTGAGTCTGGATCTCCCTGAGTTCCAGCTGGCCTTGAGCTCACTATGTATATCAATCTGGCCTTAATCACATAGAGATCCACCTTTCTCCACCTCTCGAGTGCTGAGATTAAAGACATGCACCACCACACCTGGTTTATTTTATTTTTTTTTAACTGTGTGTGTGCGTGCGTGTGCGTGTGTGTGTGTGTGTGTGTGTGTGTGTGTGTGTGTATGTACAAGAGTGAGGGTATCCATGGAGGCCAGAAGAGGATGTTGGATCTCCCAGAGCTGGAGATACAGGCAGTTGATATCCTGTCTCAAAAAAATCGTTTGTAAGATTTTAATATATATGTGTGTGTGTATATATATATATATATATGAAATATTATTAAGCATGGGAAATATATATATATACACACACATATATACAGACACACACACACACACACACACACACACACACACACACACATATAAAATTTCCCATGCCTTTTTTTTTTGTTTGATTGTTTTAAGACAAGGTCTCACGTAGCCCAAGCAGTCCTCAAATTCACTATGTGGATGAGGCTGGTTGAACTCTTTATCCTCCTGTCTCTGACTCCCAAGTTGTTGGACTCCCATGCTTTGTAGTATTGGTAATTATCTTTCCTTTGAAAAAAAATTTTTTAAATTTATTTTATGTGTATCTGTGTTTTGCATGCATGCATGTAACTTGCACCCATGTCATGCAGTGCCCGAGAAGGTGAGCAGAGGGTGTTGGATCCCCTGGAATTGGAGTTACAGACAGTTGTTAGCTGCCTTAGAGGTTCTGGGAATCAAACCCAGGTCCTCTGCAAAAGCAGCCACTTAGCCATCTCTTCAGCTCTTATCTTTCCATTTCTAAAATATTTTATTTATCTTGGGGGATGGAGAGATTGGTTACAAGTGAGTACTGCTTTTGCAAAGGACCTGAGTTCAGTGCTCAGCACCCACATAAGGTGGCTCACAACCACCTGAAATGCCAGTTACAGGCGATCCAAGCTCTCTTCTAGCCTCTGAGGTCACCTGCATTCATGTATACATACCCACACAAATACCCACACACATACACATAACTAAAAAAGAAAGAAAGAAAGAAAGAAAGAAAGAAAGAAGTGTCTCTACCAGCAAGAGTAGAAAGACCTGCTACAAATATCAAGCAAACTGTCAATGGGCAGGTTCCACACTAGTAACTCGGTCAAGATAACCTATGTTAAAAACACTTGTCTTAGTAACATAGCTTACTTCTTTGACAAAATATCTGACAAAAGAAACTTAAGGCAATCATGGTGGTGCATGCCTTTAATCCTAGCACTTGGGAGTAAAGGCAGGCAGATCTCTGTAAATTCAAGGCCAGCTTGGGAAGTTCTAGGCCAGTCAGGGCTACATAGTATTTAAAAAAAAAAAATTAGCTCAGCACGGTGGCACAAGCCTGTAGTCCCAGCACTTGGGAGGCAGAGGCAGGCAGATCTTTCTGAGTTCCAGATTAGCCTGGTCTACACAGTGAGTTTTGGGTCTGGGACTACAGGAAGATCCTATCTCAAAAAGAAGGTGGTATGCATATATTGCCTGCATGTAGGTAAGGGCACACTTGTGCAATGCCCATGGAGGACAGAAAAGGTTGTCAGATCCCCTGGTACGGGAGTTACAGACAGCTGTTAGCTGCCATGTGGGTTCTGAATTCGAACTTGGGTCTTCTGCAAGAACAGTTAGTGTTCTTAACCGCTGGGCTATCTCTCCAGCCCCATCTTCTCCTTTTTATACAATCAGGAACCCCAGCGTCAGATCCCCTGGAACTGGAGTTATGGACAGTTGTTAGCCACCATGTGGGTAACTAGGCACTGAACCTGGGTCCTCTGCAAGAGCAGCCAGTGCTGAGCCATCTCTCCAGCCCAACTTTCTCCTTTTTATCCAGTCAGGAACCCCAGCCCATGGAATGGCGCTGTCTACATTTAGGGTAGATCTTCCTCACTTTACCTAATCTAGAAAATTTCTCATAGACATGCCTAGAGATTTGTGTCATGGTGATTCTAAATTCCATCAAACTGACATCAAAGTTAATCATCACATTGCTCTTAGGGACAGAGATCTAGCTCAGTGGTACAACAATTAGCTAGCTAACTAACTAACCTTGGTAATGCCCTGGACTGAACCCCACCACTGCAAAAAGAAAAAAAAGTTGCTCTTAGCCAGATGTAACAGCAATGTAATCCCAGTATATGGAACATTAACACTGGAGAATTTTTAGTTAAAGGTCAGCCTGGTCTACATAGCAAGACCCTGTCTCAAAAAGAGGGGAGATGGGGAGCTGGAGATCTAGCTCAGTTGGTAGAGTGCTTGCCCAACACGCAAGAAGCTCTAGGTTTGATCCCCAACAACCCATAAATCTGTAATCACAGCACTCAGGAGGTGGAGGCAAGAAGATCAGAAATTCAAGATCATACTTAGCTTTACAGAAAATTCAAGGCTAGCCTAGACTACATGACACCATGTCTTGAGTGGATGGGTGTGGGGGGGTATTCTTTTTTTAAGGTTTATTTTATTAATTAATTTGTTTATGTGTGCATGTGTGAGCATGGGTACATGTAAGCAGGCTAAAAGAAAGCATCAGATCCCTGGGAGCTTAAGTTACAGGTGCTTTCAAGACCCTCCAACTTGTTATGTGGATGCTGGGAACTCTTGCTCCTCATGATTTCCTAGCAAGTACACTAACTGCTAAGCCATCTCTCTCCAGCTCCCAAATTTAATCTTGATATTCCTTCCTTCCCTCAAATGTTAAGGCAAAACCTTGAAAGGAATCAACTGATTTCACATAGCACACATTCCGACAATGCCCAATATTATATTAAGGACCATAACAAAATCCAACATCTACACCATAAAAATCATGTTTATACATAAAGCAGGAGAGAATTTAAGCAACAGAGCAGATTAATGGTATCTAAGGGTTGAGGGTAACCAGGGGAATGATTTCACAAGAACACAAGGGAAATTTGAGGGATAATAAAATTCTTTTCTAACTTAATTTTTGTGATAATTACACTAACATATGCATTTGTCAAAACCCAGAGGAGCTTTACATAAAAAAGCGTAAGTTCTACACTGGGAATGGTTGTACACATCTGCTATCTGAGGCACTAGGGAGACAGATCAGGGAGGACAGTCAAAAGTTCAGGTATGGTAGATATATATGCCTGCAGTCTCAGCATTGAAGAAGTGGAGACTCAGAAGCTCAAGGTCATCCTTGGTTACACTGTGAATTTGAAGCCTGCATGGGCTACATGAGACCTTATCTTATACTTAAATTTTTTTTTCCTACAAGACATTTTATTTTTTACTTTTTTTTTTTTTTTTTTTTTTTTTTTTTTTTTTTTTGGTCTTTTTGAGACAGGGTCTCTCTCTGTAGCCTCAGCTGTCCTGGATCTCACTGGATACATTTATTTCTTTCTTCTTTTCATTATATGCATGTGTATAGGTTCCTCCAGAAGTCAGAAGTGGGCATCAGATCCCCTATAGCTGGAGTTATAGGTAGTTATAATCTGCCTGATGTGGGTGCAAAGAACTGAACTTAGGTTCTTTGCAAGAGCAGTGCATGCTCTTAACTGCTGATCCATCTCTTCAGCGCCAGATATATACATATACATACATACACACACACACACACACACACAGAGTTGTTGTTATTGTTTTTGTGACAGGGTCTCCCTGTAGCCCCAGCTGGCCAGGAACTTGCTATATAGATCAGGCTGGCCTCAATCTCACAAAGATCCACCTGCCCCTACCGCCAAGATTAAAGGGATATGCTACCACATCTGGTGAGATATATTTCTTGAAGTGACAACTCATACTTTCTGTTTTAAGTCAAATTGACCTGATATTAAAACTCTTGCTCTGACAATGAGAGAGCAAAAACAAAGGAAAAACACCTGTGTCCTTGCAGACATTTTTGAGCTTAGGATCATGCTGTTCTGGACTTGTTCCTGAAATTCTTGTAAAGTATATTTTATTGTTGAAGGGAATTTAAATCAGAGTTTCCCGATACTTTCGGTTGAAAATGTCTTACTGATACAAGGCCCTACTCTCACTGTCTACGATATGATGGGAAAACAATACATGGCTCACTTAGCAGTCTTCCTCCACTTTCTAAGACCTAAAGTCCACTAGAAAAAAAAATATTTGCCTCTTATGCAACTCTCCCTTTCCAGTTTGCTTTGTTTCTATATATTCTTCCTCTTAGAATTTATTCTAAAATCTCTCTACTATTCTTCATTTATTGTCTTTATTACTATTGTGTGCGTGTGTGTGTGCGCACATGCATGCATTCAGGGTGCACATATGAAAGTCAGGGGCGAGTTTTTGGAAACTGGTGCTCTCCTTCCACTGTGGGTTATAGCAGTTGAATTCAGGTTGTCAGGAGCACAGCAAGGGTTTTTACCTAATTAGTCATCTTACTGACTTTTTTTTCTTTTTTGGGGGGGGCAGCTTTTTAAAACAGGATCTCCTTGTAGCCCCAGCTGTAGACCAGGCTGGCTTGAACTCACATAGATCCGCCTGCCTCTGCCTCCTGAGTGCTGGGATTAAAGGCATGTGCCAACACACCTAGCCTAAAGGTGTTTTTATAAAACACATTTTGTTCATTTATTTTGTGAATTTTAAGATACTTTTATTATTTTATGTGTATGCGTCTGTACCTCACATGGAGTCCAAAAGAAGGCATTGGATCCCCTGGAACTGGAGTTTTAGGTGGTGGTTAGCTGCTATGTGGATGCTGGGAACTGAACCAAGGTCCTCTACAAGAGCAGCCAGTGCTCTTAACCACTGAGCCATCTCTCCAGCCCCTGAATTTTAAGATTTTTAAAATTCAATTTTACTTTATGTGTATGAGTATTTTGCTTGCATGTATGTAAGTGCACCACATAAGTCGCTGGTGCCTTTGGGGGACAGAAATGGACATCGGATCCCCTGGACTAGAGTTAAAGACCAGAGTTAGCCACCATGTGGGTACTAGGAATCAAACCTGGGCCCTCTGGAAGAGCAGTAAGTGCTCTTATCCACTGAGCCATCTCTCCAGCCCTATGTTAATTTATCTTTTTAACCTTCTACTTTTCTCATGATATAGGAGTCTTAAGAAGAAGGTAGGGTTTGTTTGGGGTTTTTTTTTAGTTTTTTTTTTTGGTCTTTTTGAGACGGGGTCTCCCAGAAGCTAGAGTTTATACAAATAGTCACATGATGAGGGATAACACAAACTACCCTACAGTGACAGAAAGCAAATCAGTGATGTCCCCAAGGATGAGACATAGCAGTGACAAGTGGAGAGAAGGGCAGAGAAAGATTATAAAGGGATACAAGAGGGACGATGCAGCTCAGTTGATAGAGTACTTGCCTAGCATACAGAAAACTCTGGGTTTGATCACCAGCTATGAATAAACCAGGTGTGGTGGTAAATGCCAGCATGGTAATCACAGCACTCAGTTTGGGGGTAGAGGTAGAGGCAGGAAGATCAGAAGTTTAAGGCCATCCTTAGTTACAGTGACTTTGAGGCCAGCCCAGGATATGAGGCCTTGTCTCACAAAAACAAAAAGGGTAAAAAAGTAAATAAAGGGCTATAATGAAGCTTTTGGGAAGTAATGAATAGGTTCATTATCTTGATCACTGTGACAGCTCCACATACATTATGTCAAAACTTGTCCAAAGTTGTTATTTTAAACCTCAATCAAGCTAGTAAGCTGAGATTTTAAAAATAAGATGCTTTTGCTGAGTGGCTTTCTATTTCTGTGCGGTCTACAAAGATCTTTCATATCTTTCAAACTGTGTAGATAGGATTCACTAGAGCCTTTCTCCAAATTTGCAAGACTGTATGGCCTCTTTCATCAGTAGGTTATATTCACACAAATGCACACTAAACTTTCAGTAAGCCAATTTTCAAAACGATTTTTATCTGATGCCTACCTCTTTAATAAGTTATGCTAAAAATGTGTAAGTACACTAGACTTCTTAAAGTCCTCAAATTAGAGACACTCTTCTATTTGCTGCTATGATTCCTACCCCCTTTTTTTTCTTTTCTTTCTTGTGTGTGTGTGTGTGTGTGTGTGTGTGTGTGTGTGTATGCATGTTCATATGTGAGCAGATGTTCAGGGCGGGGCGGAGGTGAAGGACAGAGTACCTTAGATATCATTCCTCAGGAATGCTGTCCATCTCATTTTTAAGACAGAGTCAGAGTCTCTCTCTCTCTCTCTCTCTCTCTCTCTCTCTCTCTCTCTCTCTCTCTCCACATGCACGCACGCACGCATGCAAGGGTAACTACCCAGCCTTCTACTAAGATAAAATCTGAGTTCCTAAAGGTAAAAGGCCCACATAGAGGTAACTTCCAAATTTCTTTTCTTTCTTTTTTGGTCTTTTTGAGACAGGATCTCCTGGTGACTTGGAAATCACTATGTAGACCAGGCTGGCCTGCCTTGAACTCACAGAGATCTGCCTGCCTCTGCCTCCCAAGTGCTGGGATCAAATGCATGTGCCACCATGCCTGGCCAACTTCCGAATTTCTATGCCAAACAAAGGTACCAACCGATTAGAGAGTGTTTTGTAGTACTTTCCTCTTACTTGTCCCAAACTAGACAGAGGGCAGAGAAAGAGGAGTAAAAAGAAAAGAGCTTACCCATGGAGTAGAGGTTGTCAAAGCTCTGGTGCATTCGGATAATCTCATAGTAAAGTTCATCGTAGCTGCTGGGGGTTGGCAGGAATGTGTCACCATATGTGATAAACATATTAAATAGATTCACAATCTAAAAGAGAAGCAATAGCTCATAAACAGGCATCAGGCTAGGAAGATCCAAAAAGCATTACTAAGTGGTATGTTATAGTCATCTGTTACAGGTTTGTAAGAATGCATCTCTAACATCCTTGAGAAACCAGTACAGCCATGATGGAACCATTTACTAGCTGGAACATCTCTAGAAAACTTTTTTTTAACCAACACAGAGATCGCAGTAGTATTGTATAGTTTCTTGGTAGAACCAAGATAAGGATTCATACATAAAGATTTGGTGTACACCCATGCCATCAAGGTTTACCAAATACATACAAAAGAGTGAGCATCACCAGGATTAAGACTCCGATCCACAAGGAAAATACAGCCTGGTTCCATCTACAGCTCAGTTCTCAGACCCCAGTTCCTATTGCAAACAGTCTGTATGTGCCTGAGCATATGCTTCAGAAAAAGTTTTATTACTCACCATAAGGGCTAATGTAAAAATGTTGTGTTTGGCCAAAAGTACAGTTTCATTTGACATAAGGAACTTCAGCAAATTTATCAAGGCTTTGAAGAAAAAAAAAAGATATGGTATCAACAAATTATTCAAATCATAATCAATATAATCAATAAAAGTAAATGAGGGCCATCAAGATGGCTCAGTGGGTAGAGGTACTTGCCACCAAGACCGGCAATGTCACTTTGATTCCCAGGAACCACACGGTAGAAGGAGAGAACCAACATCCATAAGATGTCCTCTGACCTTCGAGCGCACACACACACACACACACACACACACACACACACACACGCGCGCGCAAACAAAACTTAAAATTTTTTTAAAAATCTAAACAATAAAATAAATAAAAGCAGAACAGCACTACAGAAATCCATAGGACTAAAAGTGAGTCTCAGCTAACAAGGACATGTGTGTTCATGTGTTATATATGGATGACATGAAAGTAGCAAAGGTAGTATGAGAGGAGAGGAAGAGGTCTACAGGGAAGGGGCAGGAGAATAAGAGAGGGTAATGGAATATATGTGACATGAAAGCAGGAGGGACAACTTAGGGGGAGGAGGAGCATCAGCAAGGGAAGAAGGAGGGAGGGCAGAGGGGAGAGTAAAAACAAAGTACAGAGCTGAGACATGGCTCAATTAAAAGCACTGCCTACTCTTCAGAGGACCAGGGTTCTGTTCCCAGCATCCACATGGCAGCTAACGACCTTCCATAACTCTAGTTCCAGAGGATCTGAGGCCCTCTTCTGGCTTCTATGGGCACTGCATAATATGAGTGCACTTAAATATATGCAGGCAAAATACTCATGCATACAATTTAAAAAAACTTTTGAAAAAGTATAATCTATGTATGTATGAAAATGTCACAATGATTGGGCTGGAGAGATGGCTCAGCGGTTAAGAGCACTGACTGCTCTTGCAGAGGATCCGGGTTTGATTCCCAGCACCCACATGGCAGCTACAAACTGTCCTTAACTCCAATTCCAGGGGAATCTGAAGCCCTCTTCTGACCTCCACAGCATTGCACAACATGGGTGCACTCACATACATGCAGGCAATACACTCATACACATAAAATAAAAATAATAAAATTAAAATAAAGAAAATGCCACAATGAAATACATTACTGTGTATGCTAACTAAAAATTTAATTTAAAAAAGACAGAAAAAAATGCCATACTTTTTTATGGGTTACAATGTGCTATTTCAATACACCAAGACAGAATGTACTGACCAAATTCAGGTAATTAGCATTTCCTTTTCCTTACCATTTCTTTATGTTTGGAGTCTCTGAACTTTTGAGCACCTCTCTTTGAGCTCATCCAAAGAAAACTATATATGTACACACATAAGTCATTGCAAAACACTGCCATTTCACTGTGCTATTTCACTGTACACCTGTTCTTTCTATCCAACTGAATTTTGGTGCCCATTAGCCAACAAGCCTTCCTCCCCCAATTTCTTACTTCTAGTGATCACTCTTCTACATCAAGATCAAAAATTTTAAACTTCCATGTCTGAAACAGAATATGGCATTTGTCTTTCTGTGTCTGGCTTATTTCACTTAACATACAACCTCTAATTCCATTTTACCTTCCATTTTGCTATAAATGACAGGATTTTTTTTTAAGGGCTGAATAATATATGCAATTGTGTATATACACAACTTTTTTTTTTTTTTTTTTTTTGGTATAAAGAACAGAAGATAGAATCTGGTTTCACAGCCAGCCTGGTCTCAAATTCATGATCCTCCTGAGTTCTGAGATTATAGGCATGTGCTACCATGCCTAGTTATACCATACACACACACACACACACACACACACACACACACAATTTTTTTTTATACAAGCTGGCCTACAATTTGCTATATAGCTGATGATGATGATGTTTGTGTTGGATGCTGGAGATTGAACCTAGAGCCAGGTACATTCTAAGTACATATTCACTCTACCTTAGAATGTGTCTCCAGCTGCCTGCCAGTTTTTTACCTATACCTCCAGTCCCTTCTCTTGCTCCCAGACTTTTCAGAAACATAATCTCATGCATCCTAGGCTATCCTCAAACTTATTTTGTGTAGAGGCTGGTCTTGAACTCCTGATCTTCTGCCTCCATCTAAGTACTAGAATTACCACACCTGGCTTCCTGCCCACTTTTAAATTGGGCTCTTCTTTTTCTTTTTTTAATATTTTATTATTTTTATTTTATGTGTATGAGTGCATTGCCTGCATGTATGTGAGTGTACCCGTGTCGTGCAATGCTGTGGAGGTCAGAAGAGGGATTCGGATTCCCCTGGAACTGGAGTTATGGATGGTTGGCAGCTGCCATGTGGGTGCTGGGAATTGAACCCAGGTTCTCTGCAAGAGCAGTCAGTACTCTTAACTACTGAGCCATCTCTCCAGCCCCCTAAATTGGACTCTTCTGTGCAGCCGCTGCCAGCTGCGGCCGACCCTCCACTCTTCCGGTGCTGGGTGCTGTATCCTGGCGCCACTCCTCTGCCCGCACAGACGCCACCTGTGACCGCTCTGTGTTCACGTGGTGCTGATGGCATGGGCACCGCCTCTGATTGCACAGAGGTCCTTCGCTCCTCGGTGCAGCCGCAAGTTGTGACCGCTCTTCTGGCCACTCGCCTGGTGCTGCCTCCGATCATCGCTTCTTCTGCCTGGTCCCGCACCCCAGGGCTGGTAAGGAGACTTTGTCAGCAGATCCGCATTCAGACACAGGAGATCAGGTTCTTGATGCAGATCCGGTTTATTGTAGAAGGGCACAAGCTTATATAGGGGTAGGGGTCTAATCAAGAAGTTACAACTCAAATCTTTGGCAGGGCTGTGTCCTATCATGACATCAGGAGCCAGACACCTCATTAGTGTAATGGGTTTCAGGTTACTTAGGTTCCGGTTTCCTTATGAGGCCTGGTTTCCTGGGAATCACGTTACCCAGGCTAAGTGCTGCAATTTGGAATCTCAAGGGTGGTGATTAGGGAGTGGTGAGCTCTAGGTATCAGTCTCATGATCTGCCAATGGGAGCAAATGTCACAAGGCGTTCCTTGTGGCTCCAGCAGTGGCAGTTGCCTCCAGCCTGCTGTATGGCCGTCAATAAGACTTTCACCCTAGGCTCAAGCCTGTCTTCCACACTTCTGTTGTCAAACTTTTAGTTATCTTTAAATTCAAAATATTAATCTTGTGTGCTAGGAGGTTTTAGTGATGGCTTAACAGTAGTATACTAATCTTGCAGAGGAATCCAATTTGGTTCAATAGCACCCACGTGGGAGGGCTCACAATAATTTGTAACTCCAGCTCCAGGGGGAACTGATGCCTTTGGCTGCCACCAACACCTGCATTTACATGCACATATACACATATATAATTTTAAAAATAATAAATCTTTTACCAGGTACAATGGCATATGCCTTTAATACCAGTTTTTTTTACAAAACAGATTAAAGACATGTACAAGGCCCTAGTTAAATCTCCAGCATACTCCCCACACCATTCCCCCACCCCAAAACACTGATAAGTTGCTATATTTAAGAAAAAGTGGGCCAGTATAGTGGCACACACCTATAATCTTAGCACTTGGGTGGTAAAGATAGGAGGAGTAGGAGTTCAAGACTAGCCTGGGCTACATGAGACCCTGTCTTTAAAAACCAAATAAAACAACAAAAAAGAGCAAGGCACTAATCTTCCCAAGTACAGGTCTACTTACCTTCCCATATAAGGTTTTAAAAAATCTACTTCCTTGACACTTTTTAAGGAGCAATTAAACTCAGAAATATGATGTTAAACTGACATCTCAGTGTTCCAAACTTACTCCCACATGATGATTTCTCCATCAAATGTTCTCAATTTGCAGGTAAAAAAAAAAAAAAAAGGGACCCTCAGACTGCTAGCAATATTGCCAACAAGTTTTAGCCACACGTTTCAGCCATCATTAAAAGGGCCATCTAACTATTCTAAATGGTCACCAGATGTGGCAGCTACACTACAGAACCTGCAGCTAGGATACTGCCCTGTGTGGGAAGACAGCACATGAAAAGATGAAAAAAAGGTACAGTGATGAACACTAGTAATCCCAGCTTCTAGGAGGCTAAGGAAGAGGCAGGAGGACCCAAAGTTTAGGCCTACTCAGATAATTTAGTGAGGCACCTTATCAAAAAAAATTTTTTTAGGGACTGGAGAGACAGTTCAGAGATTAAAAACACTTTGCAGAGGACCTGAGTTTGACTGCTAGCACCCACATAGCAGCTAACAACAGTCTGTAACTCCAGGGGATCTGAAGCTGTCTTCCCTGGCCTCTTCAGGCATTGCACACATGAGTGCACTTACACATATGCAGGTAAAACACATATACACATAAAATAAAAACGGTATTTTTGCAAGGGTCAGATGTGGTGATATATGTCTTTAATTGTGGCATTCAGGAGGCAGTAGTAGGTGGATCTCTGAGAGTTCAAAGGCAGCCTGGTCTTCACAGTGAGTTCCAGACCAGCCTGGACTACAGAGTGAGTTACAGATCAGCATGGGAGGCAGAGCAAGGCCATTCAGTCTCCACCCCCTCAAAAAAATCCTGGCAATGTAGCTCAATGGTAGAGTACTTACCTAATGTGTATGAATCCTGGGTTTAATCCTCAGTAACAAAAAAAAGAGAAAAAGTCTCAAAAATTTTGGGGGTATTTTTGAGACTGCTGTAGCCTGGTTCCCACCCCACACCACCACCACACACACACACACACACACACACACACACACACACACACAACACGCGCATGCACACACCTTTTTTTTTGAGACCCTGTAGCCCCAGCTGGCCTGGAACTCTCTATGTAGACCAGGCTGGCCTTGACCTCACAGACATCTGCCTGCCTCTGCCTCTGGAGTGAGTAGGCATGCACCATCACACCAGGCTTTAAAATTATGTTTTTAAAGATTTTATTTATTTATTTATTTTATTTTATTTTATATTTGTTCTTTTGAGACTGGGTCTCCCTGCAATCACAGCTGGCATGGAGCTCACTATATAGACCAGGCTGGCAGAGATCTGCCTGTCTCTGC